TTTCAGAAGATCTCTTCCGGAAAAGCTTCTTCCGAAAGAAGCCTGCAGTCCGGGAGAAGCAGAGCCCCATTGTTCTGTGCAGATTATCTCTGTGTTCCCAATTCCAAGCATAACAGAGGTTGGGGCAGAGGAGAGAACTTTGGCTCAGGGAAGGGATTCCATGTGGTTTCTTCCTTGGAAAGGGTTTATTTTATATTTTTAGAGATACTTGGTGGAGGCAGCGATCAATTTTTTTTTTCCATCTCAGGGAAACTGAGACTGGACAAGTTTGTCTCTGGGATACAGATACAGGTTCTTATAGAATTTATACTACTCAAAGTGTCATGTTGGGAAATTGAGCCATGACAGCAAGAAAACTTGTTTTTCTTTTCCAGATTATGAACAAACGGGAAAATGAAGATGAAGATGACTGAGTTAGCTGCAGAAGTCAATATTTTAAGTTTTTTGTGATGACCTGACAGTTGATTTAATTTTTGTTTTTTTAAAAATTATTTCATTTAACTATTTTAGTTAAAAACAATTTTAACAAAAACAAACCTGATTTTAAAAAATGTGAATATTTAACTAAATTCAAAAATTCATATGCTTGTTTTGTTAAAAGAGTATATGTTTACTGTTGAAGAAAAAATTCAGAATACATAACATTGTTTTAATTAACTAAAACAATTTAAATGGGTCTCTGGTGATGTTCTCCTAATACAGCATAGCAAGAAAATCCTCCAAATATTAATGATTAATCTCTTGAATTGAAGATAATTAGCCTCCCAATGACTTCATAAATATCTGCTTCAATTACCTTTGGTAAATGAAATAACCAATCATTCATTTTCTGATATAGCTATAAAACTACTCTGAAAAGTTTTCAAAATAAATCACTGTAATAGTATGTACCTTCTAAAAATAAAACCTACATCTATCTCTGAGTTGTCAAGAATATATATTAAAGTTATAATAACCAACAACAATGCACTTTTGTGTAGATAACCGCAATTAAATCGAGTCTTGACTAGTGATTTAATCATGATTTACACCATGATTTAAATCAAATCCACCCTGCAACTGATGGAAGAATGCTTCCATGGACCTAGCTCCCATTGTTCGGGAAGTGGCATTCCCACAGTAATGGAAAAAGCTCCTTCCATTTGCGCACTCTGTATCTACACTATAGAGTGTAGATACCCTTAGAGGTACTCCAGAGAAGTCTGGGGGGGGTACATCAACACAACTGAAACGTGGAGAAAACTGAATTTTTGTTTTAAGTTTAACTGTTTAAGTTAACTGTTTAATTTTTGTTTTGTTTTAAGTTTTACAGCGCTTTATTATTTTTGTACTTTTTACACCCAAAAATGTCATTGCCTGCCAAGCTACAATTAAGTTGTTTAAACAAATGTGTTGCAATGGTAGAAAAAAATTGTGTATCTGAACACTGTAGGTACTGGGGGTACAGTCGACCTCCGACTTATACCCGCCTGACCTGCAACCCCCCGCATTTACGGCCGCCCTGCTCTGGGAGCTGCAGGGCCGCCTACTGCCCAGCAGTCCTCGACCGGCTCAGGGTGTCGTTCGCACCACGGGGCCGCCTACCACCCAGCACAGCCCCCAGTCGGCTCTGGGCACTGTTTACGCTGCGCAGCGGAGCCACCTACCGCCCAGCACAGCTCCTGGCTGGCTCTGGGTGCCATTCACTCCGCTGGCTCAAGGAAAAGCCACATAGAGGAAAAGCACACAAAAGACCAGATTTCATGGTCCGTGATGCATTCTGCATGGCTGTGAATTTGACCAGGCTCTAGCTATATTGTTGTAATGGTCTCTAAGGTGTCATCAATGACACACATTTATTGTTACAAGTCAATGTGAGCTTTTTGGCAAGTAAGCCAATAGACAACAGAAGCCCCTCGAGTGGGATGGGCCAAAGGACAGTATCATCCCAGTTAAGAATTCCAGGAATAAAGTTTTAAAAAATTTAAGTGTGAAAAATCCTGGACTGAATAAATTTCCAGGAATAAAAGGGACGACAGCTATCTAGAAAGAACAGTAGGGCAGGACTGGGCACCTAGGGCAGGGAGCAAAGCAGATTGTAGTACTGGAGCAGTGGAACCGGGGAGGATCAGGAAGGGGGAGCAAAGCTCGGTGTCTGGGGCTGGAAGAAGGGCACTAAGGGCAAAGAGCAGAATCGGTGCCTGGACATGTCAGGGCAGAGTGGGGGACAGAGCATGGTGCCTGGAGAAGAGAGCAACGTACCCAGGGCAGAGCAGGGGTGCAGGGACAGGAGCAGAGCACAGTGCCTGGGGCAGACTGTGGTGACCGGGACAGAGAATGGGGTACCTAGGGCAAAAAAAGGGGCTAACAAGGGGCAAGGAGCAGAACCAGTGCCCAGAGGTTGTCTATCATAGGAAGTGGAAGGGCAGAGCACAGTACCGGGGCAAGGAATGAGATACCCATGGTAAAATAGGGGGCAGGCAGGGAGCAGAGCTCATGCCCAGGGATGTCTTGATTAGGGCACCCTGAGCAGAGAATGAGTGACAGAATGTGGTGCCTGGGGCAGGGAGAGGGGTACTCCTGGGGTTTTCTGGGATACAGCAACTGGGGCAGGGAGCAGAGCATGATGCCCAGGACAACGGATCGGTTACCCAGGGCAAAGTAGGGGACGAGACAGGGTGCAAGAAGAAGAACAGGTGCCCGGGCGTGACTTGGATAGGGCAGAAGGGGCACCTGGGAACAGGAGCACAGCGCAGTGTTTCTGGGATAGGGCAGGGCAAGACAGGAGAGCACAGTGCAGTGCCTAGGGTGTGTCTGGGATGAGGCAGGACGACAGGAAAGCACAGCGCAGTTACTGGGGTGTGTCTGGGATGGGGCAGGAGGACAAGGAACAGAGCACAGTGCCCGGGGTGTTCCTGGGATGTAGCAGGAGACCACGGGAGAAGAGTGCAGTACATGGGGAGGGGGCAGGGGAGCAGAGTATGGTGTCTGGTGTGTGTGGGAGGAGGCAGGAGGACAGAAACGCAGAGCTTACCGTGAGTCTTGGATGGAGCAGGAGAACATGGGAACAAAGTGCAATACCCGGGGTATGTCGGGGAGGGGGCAGGAGGACCGGGGAGCAGAGCACAGTGCCTGGGGTGCCTGGGAGGGGGCGGGGAAGCAGAGCGCAGTGCCTGAGAGAATCATAGAATCATAGAATAATAGGACTGGAAGGGACCTCGAGAGGTCATCGAGTCCAGCCCCCCGCCCTCAAGGCAGGACCAAGCTCCGTCTACACCATCCCTGACAGATGTCTATCTAACCTGTTCTTAAATATCTCCAGAGAGGGAGATTCCACCACCTCCCTTGGCAATTTATTCCAATATTTGACCACCCTGACAGGTAGGAATTTTTTCCTAATGTCCAATCTAAACCTCCCCTGCTGCACTTTAAGCCCATTACTCCTTGTCCTGTCCTCAGAAACCAAGAGAAACAAATTTTCGCTGCACTTTAAGCCCATTACTCCTTGTCCTGTCCTCAGTAACCAAGAGGAACAAATTTTCGCCTTCCTCCTTGTGACACCCTTTTAGATATTTGAAAACCGCTATCATGTCCCCCCTTAATCTTCTTTTTTCCAAACTAAACAAGCCCAGTTCATGAAGCCTGGCTTCATAGGTCATGTTCTCTAAACCTTTAATCATTCTTGTCGCTCTTCTCTGTACCCTTTCCAATTTCTCCACATCTTTCTTGAAATGTGGCGCCCAGAACTGGACACAGTACTCCAGCTGAGGCCTAACTAGTGCAGAATAGAGCGGCAGAATGACTTCACGAGTTTTGCTTACAACACACCTGTTAATACAACCTAGAATCATATTTGCTTTTTTTGCAACAGCATCACACTGTTGACTCATATTCAACTTGTGGTCCACTATGACCCCTAGATCCCTTTCCGCCATGCTCCTTCCTAGACAGTCGCTTCCCATCTTGTATGTATGGAACTGATTGTTCCTTCCTAAGTGGAGCACTTTGCATTTCTCTTTATTAAACCTCATCCTGTTTACCTCTGACCATTTCTCTAACTTGCTAAGGTCATTTTGAATTATGTCCCTATCCTCCAAAGAAGTCGCAACCCCACCCAGTTTGGTATCATCTGCAAACTTAATAAGAGTACTCTCTATCCCAATATCTACATCATTGATGAAGATATTGAACAGTACGGGTCCCAAAACAGACCCTTGAGGAACTCCACTTGTTATCCCTTTCCAGCAGGATTTAGAACCGTTAACAACAACTCTCTGACTACGGTTATCCAGCCAATTATGCACCCACCTTATCGTGGCCCTATCTAAGTTATATTTGCCTAGTTTATCAATAAGAATATCATGCGAGACCATATCAAATGCCTTACTAAAGTCTAGGTATATGACATCCACCGCTTCTCCCTTATCCACAAGGCTCGTTATCCTATCAAAGAAAGCTATCAGATTAGTTTGGCATGACTTGTTCTTCACAAACCCATGCTGGCTATTCCCTATCACTTTATTACCTTCCAAGTGTTTGCATATGATTTCCTTAATTACCTGCTCCATTATCTTCCCTGGGACAGACGTTAAACTGACCGGTCTATAATTTCCTGGGTTGTTCTTATTCCCCTTTTTATAGATGGGCACAATATTTGCCCTTTTCCAGTCTTCTGGAATCTCCCCTGTCTGCCATGATTTTTCAAAGATCATAGCTAAAGGCTCAGATACCTCCTCTATCAGCTCCTTGAGTATCCTGGGATGCATTTCATCAGGACCTGGTGACTTGCTGACATCTAACTTTCCTAAGTGACTTTTAACTTGTTCTTTGTGAATCCTATCTTCTAAACCTACCCTCTCTCTGCTTGTATTCACTACGTTAGGCACACCTCCAGACTTCTCGGTGAAGACCGAAACAAAGAAGTCATTGAGCATCTCCGCCATTTCCAAGTTTCCTGTTACTGCTTCTCCCTCCTCACTAAGCAGTGGGCCTACCCTGTCCTTGGTCTTCCTCTTGCTTTTCGGTTCCACGGCTGCGGCGACGGGCCAGGCCCCAGGCCACTCTGAGGCCGAACTCCCGCCTCCTCACGCCTACCGCGCCGGCCGGCCCAGACACACTGCGCATGCGCCCACAACCGCTTCAGGCGGGCAGTGCTTCTGGTGGCCGCCAGGGGAGCCCGCTGGGTGGCAGCGTCCTGAGATCGAGCATGCGCACACCGTTCTCAGCGGGGCTGCAGTGCATGCGGCTGCCGCAGAGGGAGCCCGCAGCCTTCAACTCCCCCAGCGGAGGCAAACCCGAAGCTCCCCACTTTATTGCAAGGTTCCAGGGCCACCCTTCTGCAGCCTAGTGCTGGGGCTGCCCAGGGTGCAGTGCACACAACAGCTGAGAGCTAACGGGAGTTCTCCAGGTAGAGGAGAAGCAGATACAAGACTCTTGAGGGAAGTGTGTGTTGTGTTTGGGGCTTTCTTGCTGTGTGCTGAGCTTGTGTTTGTGAGTGAGGCTTGGTGTGTGTTCTTTTTTGTTTTATTTATTTATTTTCCCCTGTGTTTGAGAGTGAGGCTTTCCCCCCCACTTCCCCTTTGCCCTCCCTCTCCCCTTGATGGAGTTTGTGCTGTGATTGGTAGGGGCTATGATTGGCAGGTGGAAACTGCTGGCTTCTAATTAAAGTTTGAATTCTAGGGGGAGGGGCTTTCAGGCACTCCAGGGCTTTATAAGGCAGTGAGCAAGAGACCAAGGAGCATGTAAACAGGTGAGTGCTAACAGGGAGTTGGGAAAGGCATGAGATTCTCTTGCCTTTCTTTTTAAATCCCTTCTCCAGGACAGCAGCGATGGATGGTGATGGGTCTGCTGTTGTTACCTGCACAGCATGTGCCATGTTTGTCTTCTTCCTGGAAGAAAGAACAGATTTCATCTGCACGAAGTGCAAGATGGTCAACATTTTGGAAGAAAAAGTTAGAGGACTGGAGGCCCAAGTGTCGACCCTACGCTTGATCAGAGAGAATGAAGACTTCCTCGATAGAAGGCAGCGTTTAATCCTTCAAGCATGGAAGGCAGAGGAACCAGCGAGGGCAGTACGTGACCAAGACGAGAACTGGCAGCATGTAACTTCTAGAAGGGGAAAAAGGCCAGCACGGGAATCCCCCGATGCTATAGAGGTAAGTAATCGCTTTCAAGCTCTCTCCACAGGCTCTGCAGAGGTAAATTCTTTGGAAGGGACCTCACAAGGAAGAAACCAGAAGCGAACACCATCTACTGTAAGGCATGGGATACATAGCTCTAGGGATGGGGGTTCCACGGCCACCATCTCCAAAAGAAGAAGACGGGTGGTGGTGGTAGGGGACTCCCTCCTAAGACGGACTGAACCATCCCTCTGCCATCCGGACCTGGAATCTCGAGAGGTGTGCTGCTTACCGGGAGCTCGCATTCAGGATGTGACTGAGAGGCTTACCAAGCTGATCAAACCTTCGGATCGCTACCCCTTCCTGCTTCTCCACGTAGGAACTAATGATACGGCCGTGGTTGTGCAGGTGGTGTCGCAAACAGGGCTTTGGTTTCTTCAACCATGGGACTCTGTTCCGGGCACAAGTATTGTTAGGAAGAGATGGAATCCACCTAATGAAGAGAGGAAGGAGCATATTCACGGGAAGGCTTGCAAACCTAGTGAGGAGGGCTTTAAACTAGGTTCGTCGGGGGACGGTGACCAAAACCCTGAGGGGAGAGGGAAACTCAGATACCGGGAAGAAATGCAGAGAGGAAGGAGCAAGAAAGGAGGACCCCTGTCTCAAATGGAGAAGATCGGGCGATCAACTGGTTACCTGAGGTGTTTGTACACTAATGCGAGAAGCCTGGGCAACAAACAGGAAGAACTGGAGGCCATGGCCCAGTCCAAGAAATATGACTTAATTGGGATAACAGAGACTTGGTGGGATGACTCGCATGACTGTAGCGCTGTCATAGAAGGGTATAGACTGTTCAGGAAGAACAGGCAGGGGAGAAAAGGAGGAGGAGTTGTGCCATATATAAGAGAGCACTACGACTGCTCTGAACTCCAGTATAAAGAGGGAGAAAAACATGTTGAGAGTCTATGGGTTAAGATTAAAGGAGCAAACAACAGCAGTGATGTTGTGGTTGGTGTCTACTACAGGCCACTGAATCAGGTGGATGAGGTAGATGAGGTTTTCTTTGGACACCTGAGCGAAGTTGCCAGATCGCAGGTCCTGGTTCTCGTTGGGGACTTTAATCACCCTGACATCTGTTGGGGAAACCAATACGGCAGTACACAGGCAATCCAGGAAGTTTTTGGAGAATGTTGGGGATAACTTCTTGACACAAGTGCTGAAGGATCCGACTAGGGGCTGTGCGCAGCTTGACCTTCTGCTCACAAACAGGGAGGAACTAATAGGGGAAGTAGAGGTGGGTGACAACCTGGGAATCAGTGATCATGAGATGGTAGATTTCAGGATCCTGACCAAAGGAAGAAAAGAGAGTAGTAAAATACACACCTTGGACTTCAGTAAAGCAGATTTTGACTCCCTCAGAGATCTGATGGGCAGAATCCCCTGGGATCCTAACATGAAGGGGAAAGGAGTCCAGGACAGCTGGCAGTATTTTAAAGAAGCCTTATTGAAGGCACAGAAAGAAACCATCCTGACGCGTAGCAAGAGAGGCAAACATGGTAGGAGACCGGATGGCTTACAGGGGAAATCCTTGGTGAATTTAAGCACAAAAAGGAATCTTACAAAAAGAAGAAACTTGGACTAAAAACCAGGGAGGCGTTTAAATGTACAGCTCGAGAATGCCAGGGGGTTATCTGGAAGGCGAAAGCACAAATGGAACTGCGACTGGCTAAGGATGTAAAGGATAACAAAGGTTTCTACAGGCATATTAACAAGAAGAAGGTGATCAGAGAGGCTGTGCAGCCCCTAATAGATGAAGGAGGTAACCTAGTGACAGATGATTTAGGGAAAGCTGAAGTACTCAATGCGTTCTTTGCCTCTATATTCACGGACAAGGTGGGCTCCCGGACTAATGTGCTAAGTGATGCAAGGTGGGATGAAGATGGACAGCCCGTGGCGGGTAAAGAACAAGTTAGGAACTACTTAGACAAGCTAAATGTACACAAATCCATGGGTCTGGACTTAATGCATCCGAGGGTACTGAGGGAGTTGGCAACTGTCATTGAGGAGCCTTTGGCCATTATCTTTGAAAAGTCGTGGAGATCGGGAGAAATCCCACTTTCGATTTTGTGAAAAAATGTCCATTACGGACAAAAAATTAAAATTTCAACCTTAAAATTTTGATATTAAGGGGGTAGGTAGGCAACAGGAGTATCATTTTTGGGTTTTGGAGGTGGCCACTCCCTAACTTTTTGATGAACAGTTTGGTTCCTCCAAGAAAGAAAGAGCCACATTTTATAGGAATAAAAATCATTTCCCGAGCAGCTGCCTTTCCTACATTTTGAGGGCACAGAGACGAGTCCTTCTACATGACACATTTCATAGACTCATAGAACCATAGAGCTGGAAGAGACCTTAGAAGATCATCAAGTCCAGCCCCCTGCGCTAGGCAGGACTAATCCAAACAATTTGTTCCAAGATACAAACAGTTATGGCTCCTGTGAATCATGGAGACCAAGGGTCATAGACACGGAGAACAGTAAAAAGTTCTAGTAAGTTTGAGCCACATTCCATGTCCAATGGAAACCAAAGGGAGTTAGGAACCTGCATAAGATGGATAGAAAGATGGCTAGAGGCCTCCCTCACATGCATCCCTTTCTCGAACAGGTCTGTAACCAGAGCTGAGTACCAGAGAGGTCTCGGCGTTCTTTCATTTGTCATTTTCTCTTCTCCTTTCCCAGGAGACCATGCCCAATATTGCCGTGCTAGGATCGGGCGGGGGCCTGCGGGCCACCATTGCCCTTCTGGGAACCTTGGTGGAGATGAAGAAGCAGAGCCTGCTGGATGCTGCCATGTACCTGTGCGGGGTGTCGGGATCCACCTGGTAGGTGCACGTCTGTAGAAGGGAGAATGAACAACTTTTCCTGAAGAGTTGGAGCATTCTTATGATGATTCAATCCTGAACATTTTCCATGCGTTGTGAGTGACGTCTTCAGAAGCACCTAGGGGTGTGTCCACTCCACACTCAGGGAGCATGGGGTAATGCATCCAATTCCGGCCCCCCACTACAGAAAGGATGAGGGGGCATTGGAGAGAGTCCAGCAGAGGACAACAGAAGTGAAGAGGGGGCTGGAGCTCATGACCTACAAGGAGGGGCTGAGGGATCTGGCCTTGTTTAGTCTGAAGAAGATAAGAGTGAGGGGGGATTTGAGAGCAGCCTTCAACTTCCTGAAGGGAGGTTCCAAAGAGGCTGAAGAAAGGCTGTTCTTAGTAGTGACAAATGGCAGAACAAGGAGCAATGGTCTCAAGTTGTGGTGGGAGAGGTCCAGGTTGGATATTAGGAAAAACTATTTCACTAGGAGAGTAGTGAAGCACTGGAATGGGTTACCTAGGGAAGTAGTGGAGTCTCTATCCCTAGAGGTGTTTAAGTCCCGGCTTGACAAAGCCCTGGCCGGGTTGATTTAGTTGGGATTGGTCCTGCCTAGAGCAGGGGGCTGGACTTGATGACCTTCTGATGTCTCTTCCAGTTCTATGATTCTATAATAAGGGGATGGTTTGATGAGATAACATGATCTTGTTAACTACTTGACCATTCATTATCAGTGGGAAATAGATCAATGGAGGGATGATAGGAGTTGTTCTAGAGAACTTTCTGGGTGTCTGGCTGGTAAGTCTTGCCCATATGCTCAGGGTTTAGCTGATCACCATATTTGGGGTCGGGAAGGAATTTTCATCCAGGGTAGACTGGCAGAGACCCTGGAGGTTTTTCGCCTTCCTCTGTAGCATGGGGCACAGATCACAGCTGGCGGATTCTCTGCATCTTGGGGCCTTCAAAGTATTTGAAGGCTTTAATATCTGAGACATAGGTGAGAGGATTATTCTAAGAGGGGTGGGTGAGATTCTGTGGCCTGCACTGTACAGGGGGGTCAGACTAGATGATCATAATGGTCCCTTCTGACCTTAAAGTCTGAATCAACTTGTCTTGGTGCCCTGCATGCCACACTCCCTCCAGAGCCCTGCACTCATCATAGTTCAAGGTCAGAACACCTGAGTTCTATTTCACCCACTCTTCTGACTCACCATCACCTCACGCATCACTAGGCTTGTTTTCCTTCTCTGTCTCATAGGCTACATCTACTACATGCCTCTGACAACAGAGGCATGTAGTTTAGGCTACCAGGCATAGGAAAATGAAGCGGCGATTTAAATAATCGCCGCTTCATTTAAATTTATATGGCTGCTGCGCTAAGCCGATCAGCTGTTTGTCAGCTCCGCGTGGTAGTCTGGACGCGCGGGTGTTGACATCAAAGGCATTTGTCGACCACCCAGGTAAACCTCATCCCAAGAGGCATATCTGGGTGGTCGACAAATGCCTTTGATGTCGACACCCGTGCATCCAGACTACCGCGCTGAGCCGACAAACAGCTGATCGGCTCAGCGTGGCAGCCATGTAAATTTAAATGAAGCGGCGATTATTTAAATCGCCGCTTCATTTTCCTATGCCTGGTAGCCTAATCTACATGCCTCTGTCGACAGAGGCATGTAGTCTAGACGTACCCATAGATTATCTTTTTTTATACTGCTCTTCCTCAGATTCATAATTGTAGTCATATTTGTGGATATGGGCCCAGTTTCTTGCTCTAGTTTTGCACCAGATAACTTTGCTGCTTTTGAATTATGATGGTACAACTCACAGGAGAACCAGGCATAGGATCTTTAGATTTTAGGGACTCTTCTGATCCTGCCTCTATTTCCCACCTGAAGATGTGAAACCCACTGTGACATCAGAACCCCAGCATCTCATGGTGGTGATACAGAGAGGATTATGCTTATGTCTTCACTGCAAAAAAAATAGGTGTGTTTTTACATTAAGATAGCAATTGCAATATATAATCCTAGTGGAGAGAAGACACAGGTAGTTTTTACCTGGATGTAGCTATCTGGAGTCAACCATCTAATCCCAAACTGATGTTTACTTTGGTTACATTGATGAGGTAAAGATACAAGACAGGGAAGAAAAATTCAATACATGACAGGAGTAGATCTGTCTGTAATTTGAATAGTCAACTGTTTCCCACAGAGTGGCAGTGCATCTCTCTGAGTGACAATGACACATGTGCTTCTGGTCATATGGGCAGAGACATCCTCTGTACCTCAAAACTACTGTCTCCTATGATGACTTTGGAGCAGATAAGCCAATTTGTATGAATGTCAGCAGTTCTACATACAATGCTTTCTCCTTCCAGCTATTAATGCACCATAATTTTAATTGGCGTAGAGAGGGATGTGACCGCTTTATGAAGAATTTTACATTATAAAGGGATGTACAGGGGGCAAATGAGCATCTTTCAGTGCAACAGATGATTTTTCCTCTTAACTGAATAATGTGTGCGCCCTGGTTAATAAACATCTCAAGTTATCAATCCAGGATGTAGTTATTACCTTGTTAACAATAGGTATCCTGCAATTATCTAATTATAACTACAAGCCAATGCTCTGGACTAGTCAGAACATTCTAAAGTCAATAAGCATGGAGTAACTATGTAAGAGTGTAACACTGAAAGGCGAAGCCGAAACTGGGACTTATGAAGCTTAGTCCATGAACTTCTACTGCAGGAACTAAAACCCATCTGATTATTAACTAAGGCTATAGAGCAGACTCATTATCTCTGTAAGCGGTCTAAGCGCCACTAGACGGGACAGTAGGTATGTAGGTGACAAGAGGACATCACCCAACACATCCCTTTCTCCTACTTCAGAGTTTAGAATGGCAACTAGTTTTAAAAAATCTGATACTTAGCAGCACAATTACAGTGATCCACCTGTATCTCTATAGTGCCATAGTATTAATGCTTCCTGCATAAACAAATGAGGGATTTCCATTGCTGTAGTTTAGATACCGCTCCATATATAGGTTATCAACTCAGCCAAGTCTACAAAAGTATTAGGTTGTCCTAACCCAGTGGTCTCCAACCTTTTTACACCCAAGATCACTTTTTAAGTCTCCGAACAAGTGAAGATCTACCGTCCCGCCCCTTCCTTGAAGCCCCGCCCTCTCTATTCTCCTCTTGTCCATCACTTGCTGTCTCCAGCCCTTACTTACACACTCTGATAAACAGTTTATTTTTAAATTATGCGACGTACAAAAATTAAAATCATGTGTTTATAGTTATGAAATAAATGATCTGGTTTTTATTCATGCTATTTAAATCTAAAATGAAGCATTTATAATTATACATTTTGTGGGGACAGAGTTCTGCGGCGGGGGGCAGAGAACAGGGTTCTGCAGCAGGGGACAGGGTGCCAGTGGGGACAGGAATGGGGACAGAGTTCTGTAGCTGGGAACAGGGGAGTGGGAACAGAATTCTGTGGCTGTAGACAGGGGAGTGGGGACAGAGTTTGGGGAGTGGGGAACAGAATTCTATGGCTAGGGACAGGGGAGTGAGGATGGAGTTCTGTGGCTAGGGATGGGAGTGGGGACAGAGTTTGGGGACTGGAGACGGGAATGGGGATAGTGTTCTGTGGCTGGGGTCAGGGGAGCGGGGACAGAGTTCTGTGGCTGGGGACAGGGGAGCGGGGACAGAGTTCTGTGGCTGGGGTCAGGGGAGCGGGGACAGAGTTCTGTGGCTGGGGTCAGGGGAGTGGGGACAGAGTTCTCTGGCTGGGGTCAGGGGAGTGGGGACAGAATTCTGTAGCTGGGGAGTGGGGGGC